ATTTTTTTACATTATTCTTCGTTTTGTACTTTTTTTTCATCTCAGTTATAATCACCGTGGATGTCCCACCACCACTTCATTAACAGATTTTTCTATCTCATTCTATCATTGATCTTTCTATGCCAGCTGAAATCACCTTTAACATTATTTCTTTATTGTCCCCTTACTTCCTCTTGGTCTTGGAGCTTAAGATCCTGAACAAAGGTAAATATGACAGTAGTCATTTCCATAAGGGCTTCTAAGCTAGCATCTGCAGAGTGGGCCTAGACCTTAGAGGATAAAGAGAAATCCTCGTAGAGGGGACCTCTATGTTATGTGTTCCAAGACATACAATAAGGTCTTATAGCAGTTACAGGTGATTCTAGCTTCAGTTTGGAGAACTAGACTAAGTTATCATGCTCTTTCTTGGGAACAGTAACCATCTGTACATTCTGGACTTGGGGAATTAGGTGACCCACAGAGAAAGAATTCTGCAACTTGAAGCCTAAGATGGGCTGCGTGAAAAGTGACAGTTGGTCACTGACAGACTGATAAAGTAAGTAAACATTTACTAGGCATTCTCAAAATTTTGGGATGGTGAATATACCAAAGTAGCAAAGGATCTCTTATTACTGAAATTAAAATAAAGCTTAAGTAAATCTAAGCTCCTTAGTATATAGTTCCCCAAATTATATCTCAAACTGGCACTATATTGCTGACTTCCTCATATATCTAGCATGTTCCAGATATTTTTAGCTTATTATTACTTTTGTTAAAATCATGATTTTAAGAAAGGACACAGGGCTGTTTGCCAGAGAAAAAAAGCTCATTAATATCAAGCAATACCTGCAATCCAACTGTATCTGATTTAGAATCCCTTCATTATGAATTATTGGTACTTATTATGCCCCCCCACCCCGGTAATGTGTGATAGCTCTATCAAGCTCAGAACTCCTCTGTTTCGTATTCATAGTATTTATTCTTGTGGCTAGGTTTATCTCCATGGCTCTTGACCCACTCCTGGGTCAGGTGATTTCACAGTTGCATTCCTAATTCTTAATGACCAGTATCCCTCATTTCAGGGACTGAACAAATATTTGTTTTATGAATAAATGTTATTTGTAAATTCTTCTGCTTGATGATTCAAGGGACTTAACTCTGAGGTGCCCTGGACTTTAGTCAATTTCTGTTAGACAAATATCTTGAAGTATTGATTGGGATCCATGTAGCATTGCTCTGGGTAATATCAAAATAAAGGACTTCTATATCTCAGTTGACATAGAAGTCAATTGAGAATGTTTTTATTTAGACATGAATCCCATTAAATTTCTTTCCCATTAGTTGACACTTTAATTTTGTGGAAAGCAGAGTATTTCAGAATCAAAAACTATCATCATTTTTTAGGATCAAAAGTTGCTCAAAGGAAACTGACATCATTACTAGGAGATGTAATTATTTATCTAATAATATTGTATGTATCCCATATAAGTGTCTGCATTTTATTAGTACAACTAAAATGATGATTAGTATTTAACTTTTTCTATTTTAGATATTGTACTATATTTAATACTCATATGAATTGTGATTACTCTACAGATAATGAAGGTAGGAAATATATGTTTGTATATAGAACTTGTTTAAAGAGAGATTGATTGGAAAATTCAGACTTTGAACTACTGACTTTCTTACTGAATCCAGAGTCTGTGCTCTAACCATTGGAATCATAAAGTTTTGATTCCTTCACATGAATAAAATAAAGCTGTAAATTGTGTTATATTAGGTTGTATTAATGAGTACAACATCCACCTCAGAGAGTCCACCTCCTGGCTAGCCACACACCCTTATGAATAGTAAATAATTCAGAAGACCAGTGATGCTCCTTTGCCTGGCAGTATCCCAATCCTAAAAAGGACAATAAAGTAAACTGCTTAAAGTCACATGTTTCTGGATTACCACTGTGCAACTTTGAAAAACAATAATCTCCAGGGACACATCTAAAAGCAGGACTCATAAAACATTGGCATTTGCATTTGAAAATGTCTTGTTAAAAAAACAACAGTTGTATTCCTTAGAGATCTGTGCTATAATCCTTCAAAGAAGGTCAGAATTCAAATTCTATCAGAAACTTTGTTTTATTTTTCTCACTTAAATCATTTTTTAAGAGATTCTTTTTGATTTGTTTTCTTAGCTGAAATCCTACAGTCACTAAGGCTTAGTAGGAAAAGGCTGTCTGTGTGTGTGTGTGTGTGTGCATGTAAGAGAGAAACCAATTCATAATTTCTGTTTTATCCTGCATTATTATATGGGGGACCATTTTTCCAGTCTACATTTAAATTCCATCAACCTGTGAATAAGACTGTTCACAAGAATGCTTATGTAGAAGAATTATATATGTATAGGCATGTAGCGAAAGTAAACAAACAGAAAAAACCCCACAAACATTCGGCACAGAGTTTATAATCTGAAAGCATGTCTGTTTTTTGTTTGTTTGTTTGTTTGTTTTAATTTGTGACTCCAACTCATGCTTTAACAGAGGATCTCCATAATGAGGATAGATAAAGAACCACTTATGCAATACCACCCACACCACACCCACTATTGTAGGTTACTGGTGAAAATTTTATATTATGTGATAGGGAAAAGTTTAATGAATGATATAAGGAGACCTCCAAGTTTCCTTGTTTAAAGAGAAGAGAATACAAAATAAGTGACTATGTATATTGTATGATCTGTGAAATGTGGAAAGAAAAACAGGAAATAAAAATTTTTAATAAATCACTGGAAATATACACAAGAAATTTATGAGTTAAAGAATTTATGGAGACTGGTACAGGGTGGAGGTGAAGCTTTCAAGAGGTACCTTTTTAAATTATTTTGATTTTGAAATATGTGGATTTATTACCTATTAGTCAACCTATATAATTGTCATTTACAGTGTAACAGAAGGTGTTTGAAGGAGTTACACAAGAATGCAGAATGACAAAGACAATCATGATTGATTTACACAGTGGGTAATTTGACAAAGTAAAACACTTCTAGAAACTATGTGTCATTAATAAATTAAGTGGATTTCTGAGGCCAAAGGAGAAGGGGGAAAGAGTCAAGTGGATGAAAGGGATGGTGGTGGGGGAAACAGTTGCTCCAAGCGCTTAACAGAAGGCCAGATATGGAGTCCTCCTAGCACCCAGCTAATAGTTATTCAAACAAGTACTTAGTCAAACCCACAAGGTACTTAATCTCTACTAGGTGCTGAATAGGATACAAGTAAAGTAATGCATGTGTCCTCCACCATTTTATAAAGTAGACAATTAGCAGGAAAGAAAAAGGTACAAACATTTGTCTCATACTGTCATGTGGCAGGCCCTGAGATGGGCAGGGGACATAAGCCAGACAGTTAATCTACATAACTAACTCCGTCTTGGATGGAGGAAGTCGAAACATCTCGGTCAGAGCTCAACACAGATATCCTGTGAAAGAAAAAGTGTCATAGCTTATACAGGAGAAGAAAAGGTGTTTATATATATATATATATATATAATCGGAAGTGTGAGCCCAGTGCAGAAGGCTATATAAAAACTTTACTATCATATCTGGTTTAATATTTCTCACCTCCTGCAAATGAAGGCCAGGCCCAAGCATGGATGCTTGCAGAATAGAAAAAGCATGATGTCCTTGCTCCCCGGTTCCACTCTGCTGTTTTCATTGTTCAGTAATGTTTCCAGGGGAAGTGGGGGATTATAAAGACCAAAAGTTCTTAGTAGCCTGCTATTTTTTTGCTGTCATCTCCATCACAAAACCCCATGTGCTAGGTAAAAACTATACCCAGAAGGCACGTCAAGCATCTCTGGCTCTGCTATCAACAATCAGCACCTGTAGCCTGTTTTTCACCTTCTGAAACTAAAATTCTTTGATTAATCCTGTCAGGAAACTTTTACTTCACCTGCCTCATGACTGAAAAAAAACTCAGCACCTGTTCTATGCTAAACACTGGAAGTGCATGTTTCTCCCTTCAGAAGCCCTTGAACCTCTGCATTCACAGGCAGTCTTAATAAGTCAGCCATCTTTATCTGTTTTGGTAGGAGATTCAGGAACCAGTCTCAACTGTTCTCTAAACACCTGAAACACTGGTCAAATCTTCCAAGGATGGTCAGATCAGACTCTATTAGCACCAGGTTCGTTAGGTGATCTAATTTCGGGTTGGAGTTAAACACCTACTTAGAGTGGAAAGAGAAGGTGCAGTTTTCCTTTACGAGCAAGTCTCTTAATCTCCACATCACTGATTTTTGAAGCAGGATCATTCTTTCTTGTGAAGATTTTCCTGTGTGTTGTAGGACATTTAGCAGCATGAACAGCCTCCCAGCAGATATCTACCCAACAGATAACCACAGTGCACACCGTCAACTGAAGCCCAGAAAGCTCCAGCCACTGCCAAATGATCCTTAGAAGAAAAGTCACCTGGATCCATGCAAGAGCTGCAGGCAAACAACCCTTTTCAAGTAAATTCTTGCTTCCTAATCTCTTTACGACTCCACTAATTAACAGGTTAGATTTAGATGATGATTAAAAACACACCTGGAGCAGCCCTTTCACAAGTCCTGCACTAAGAGACTGACAGATACTTCTCATGAGGAGTGGGCATAAGACACCCATTTTCTCAGAGGAACTCTGAAATCTGAGAGAATTGGAATATCATTATATCAGTGAAAACCAATATAAGCCTACATCTGTCTCTGACATTTAAAAATCTGAGCCTAAGGATAGGGTAGGAAGAGAAGAGACTTTCATTTTATGACTTTATTGTTTGACTATTTTTGAAAATGAAGCATTTGAATTCAAATGTGTATTTTTAAAATGAATCATAGTCCAATTAAGTAGCTACATGAAAAGCACCTTTGAAATTATAACAAGATTTTTACTTTGGTTTCATAAGCAAGATATAACAAATACAGGTATGAGATTAAAAAAGAGAGAGAGAAACAAAGGGAGGAGGGGCAAATAAGAAAAAAAGAGACAAAACTTACCTTGTTTCGTCAATATAAACAGCTTCCAGCACAGATGCTGCATATTCAATGTTCTTCTTTAAGTCCACAACATTTACATCACCTTTTTCCAGCTGCTTCACTAAGCATCTTAATCTATTTCAAATAGCAGCAAAAAAGAAATAAAAAAAATTATTATGACCATATGAAAAGCAGTATTACATGAAGAAATTCAAAGGAAAAAATTAACATAAGCTTTCTGGGTCATCAAATAGAAATGGTTTTTAGAGATTTTATTATAATTAAGTCTTTACCACCCAAACAACTGTTAGAAATTATTCACCTCTCAATAGTTATTGGATTATGGGTTGTTAGCTCAGGCACTATATCTCAAGAATAATCTTTCTGCAAATCCAAAACAATAAAAACACTTTAACAAAAGCATACTTTTAACACTAGAATTTATTCATTGATTGTTCTGCTTCAGAGTTAGTACTATGAGAACATTTAAAGGGTGCTCTTTTGACTACAACTGCATCAACCATTCACTAAATATGTCAATAGAAATGAAAACAAAACAGAATTTCTAAAAAAACGTATCAATATTAAGAAAAAAATTAGTTGGGGCCCTCCCTGGTGGCACGACAGGTTAAAGCATAGCACTGTGAAGCTATCAGCAGCCACTGTAGCACCATTTTGATCTCCAGCCAGGGAGGTGACCCAAATTGCTGGCAGACCAGTCCTGATCCACCTGCTGCTCCCCTCAACAATGTATTTCGGTCAATGTATTTCTTTTTCCCACTGTCTCTGGTGAATCCTCTCACCCCCACATATCTGGCCTGTACCCAGTTATTGTACACATAACTAAATAAGTCTTTAAAAATATTTGGGAAAATGGGAGCAAAAGAGGAGGAGGTCCAATGGACTGTGGTGGGTGATTATTGGCGCTTTTGAATGGGCATGGTTTAAGCACGAATGGGCATGGTCTAAGCACACGTTTGGAGACACGTGCCTACACCAGGTGGAAAAGGAACACATGTTCCTGTCTGTAGACCACAGATTAGTAAACTGAAGACAGTTTGTCTATTTTTCTGCCTTAGCAGCAGAATTTTTTTCCACTCCTGAACAAAGGCTATTTCAGAGGGAATGAAGTGTTTCTACTTTAGGGATATCTTAGAAACTATGTAGCAGATTCCTTAAATATTTATTTTGGATAATGTCTAATATCAAGGGTGAGAGTAAAAGACATGTTAAAAAACACAGCAAAGGTATTCTACCCATAGAAATACTTTATTTCTCCAAGGAAAAAAGTCAAACCTACATTAAAACTTCTTTTTCAGGAAGCTACAAATGCTATTCTATACCATATACTTTTGATTGATAAAAATATTAACAGACAGCCTTACAAAATATAGTCTATCAACCAGTAAATACGCTCTGTTAGTTTATAAACAGGTAAGTGAAACAAAATAACATTGAAGTCAGTTTAATGAGAAAGGTAAACTTAATCCTGGCTTTAGGGTTTACTGAAAATCAGAATGTGATAACAATGAAGCAACCTATAAAATGTTTTCAGATTGTTTAGAAGCTTATAATCTAATACATTATACCTAGTAAAACTTCTTTTTCCTGTGTGACAATAAAAGAGCCTCAGAGTTCTGCACAGACTTAAAAATATACAACTCAAGTATACTACTTGTGAAAAAAGTTTACTTGAGTTGCATGATATGGTTTTAAAAACATTAAGTACATCAGATGGTTGCTTTCCCTTGTTTATGAATGACTGAACTCTATTTTTAATTTTCATCAATTTCCCCACTAAAAAGCCTACATTTTCCAGGCTCTCTTAAAATGAGGCATAGTCTTGTGACTAAATTCTGGCCAGTAAAAATAAGTTTGAAGTTGTTAAGTTTCAAAACAATTATTTTGAAGAGGACTAACTCAGTTGGAAATTCTCTTTTATCTCTCGCCATTCTTACTGCCTGGAATACAGTGGAACTGTCAGAAGGTCCAGCTGTCATCTTGGATAATGAAGTGATGTGGCAGTAGGATGCCACTCAAGAACAGTGCCAGGAAGGAAGATGGAAGTAGCCTGGAGCCTATGGAGTGAAGCCACCTGTCTGAAAATTCCCACTTCTGGATTTACTTCATATGCAAGTGCAAAAACGTTTGTATTGAAACAACTATTATTTTGAGTTTAACCTGCAGCTCATACCACTCCTAACTGATGAGTCAAATGAATGAGAAGTCACTCAAAGGAAGTACCCCAAGAATAGAGACATCACATAAAATGAGAGGACACCCCCTAAGGAGTCTACAACTACACTTTCTTTTTTAAGATTTTTTTCTTTATTAAGATTTATTTTAATATTTATTTATTCACACATACAAGAACTGGGGGTACAGTAGCTTTGGAGAGCACCACCAGGGAGGGCCCCTACAGTACTTGCACTTCCTAAGTCATGGCCGCCTATGTATGTTACCAGGTGAACTTATCCCATCATCGATCGCACCTGAACAAACCGTTATTTCAAGAAGCTCTACTATTTGTACAACAAACATAACTGTATAAGTTGAAAACCTGATAAAATTTAGCAAGTTATTGAAAATAATAAATGGTTTTAACAATATAGGAAGCCAGATACACATTCAGTATCATTTCTATCTAGTAGTAATGGACAATTTGATGTTGTGATAAAAGTAATATCTTTACAATGCTGTGTCCTTTACTATAAAATTTTCATCAAAATTATGAAAACTTTAGATAAAAATCTGACAAAATATGGGCAAGTTCTATCCTTTGAAAACTATAAAATATTACTGAAAGGAATTAACAGTAAATCTAAATAAATGGAAGGCAACATCTTTTTAGAATGACTTCAAAGACTTACTATTGTTAATGTAGCAATTCTACCCCAAACTGATTCTTAATGTATCAATTCTACCCAAATTGATCTACAAACTACATTCAGTTCCAGTGAATATCCCAGCATGTTTCTTTTTTGTTCTTTTTATTGACATGTTAATTCTAAAGTTCATGTAGAAGTGCAAAGGAACTAGAATGGTCAAAACAAAACTAACAAAAGAATACAGGTGGAGGATTTATACTCCTAAATTTCAAGAATTATTTTAAAGACACTGTAATTGGTAACATATAAACAAACTTACTATACTTTATTGCATTATAAGCACCAAGATAGGTCACTGATAGATCAATAACGGAGAATATGATATCTAGAAAGAGGTGTACATTATATAGTTTATTTACATGTTTTGAGAAAAGGTGGGAAGATAATTTAGTTGAGAAAGGATAGACTGACAATAAATATTTCTGCATCACTGGAAATACCAATTGTAAAAGGAACTTTGATCCCAACATGGGTCACAAATAAATGTATATCCTAAATTATAAACTCAGAAGAGATGATAAAACTTATTTGTGATCTTTGGTCAACCAAAACTTCTATGAAAATAATATGCTGAACTTGATCATTATTAACTACCATTCTTTAAAGAAGCCAAATGCTGGGAGAAAATATTGCCGATCATAAATCTAATAAATGATTTGTATCCCAAACACACAGAATTTGCAAAACTCAATAATAATAAGACAAATAGTGCAGTACAAAATCTACAAAAGGTTCATAACAAACACGAAAAATGTTCAAATCATTAATCATCAGAAAAAATTCCAATCATATACAAGCACCATTAGAATAGCTAAAATTAAAATAATTGGTCACATCAAATATTGCCAAGGATATGAAGCAACTGCAACTACAATACACTGTTGTTAGGTATGTAAATAGCTACAATCACTTTGGAAAATGGTTTCTTAAAAAATGAACCATGTGCCGGCCCTCCCTGATGGCGCAGCAGGGAAAAAGCACAGCAGTAAGAAGCTTCAGCATGGGTTCGATCCACCACCCAGAGGTGATCCACATGGTGCAGCAGACCTCTCCTGACTCGTCCGCTGCTCCCCTCAGCAGTGTACTTCGTGAGTCCTCTGTTCTGTTCCCCAATCTGTCTCTGGTGAATCCTCTCCTCTCCCCTGCACCTCTGGCCTGTACCCCAGTTCTGTATGCATAAATAAATAAACCCTTTAAAAAAATGAGCCATGTATCTACCATATAACTCAACCATTCTATTTTTGGTGGAGAGAATGGAAATATATATCCATATAAAGACTTGTGTGTGAATGGACTTTTATTTGTAGTAACCTAAAACTAAAACAACCCAAATATTCATGAAAATATAAGTGTTAAAACCAATGGGCCGTATCCATCCAAAGACGTTATACTCAGCAATAAATTGAATAAACTATTGATACACAAAATAACCTGAGTAAGTCTCACATAGTTATGCTGAATATAGAAAAACTAAAGGGCCTCCATCTTATCTTGACACTGTCTTAATCCTGTGATCAGTAATTGCCCTACCCTGGGAAGACAATTTCCCACTGTTTCTTTCATGTATACTAAATTGTACTCGTGATTTGCACACAGCCATACTAATCTCAGTGGAACAAAGATGCCTATGACATTTCCCCCCTTGGCGTTTGGCTCCACTAGTTTTACACAAGAAAAAGCATGTAATAAGCAGGGTATAAAAAAGACATCTGTGGGAAAAGAGCTGTGGATCACACATGGAGCCAATGTTGTGTTTAAAGTTTCAGTTCAAGGACCTCTGTGTGGAAGTTGCCCTGAATAAACTGTAAGTGTGATTAATGGATGGGCCTGCTTTGTTCTTTGAATTTAAATTACCTTGCCTGCTGGGGTTGGGGGAAGGAAAATCTAGTCATTTCTTTAGTCATATACTGAAGGAAATTAGAGCACTTTTTGTATAATATCATTACAGAGTGGTAGCCCTGGGAATGGGGGAGATAAGGATCATGGAGGAGAAGGACTGATTACCAAATGACTTCAGGAAACTTTGATGAAATGTTAGTTTTCTTGAGAGTGGTGATATTTTTATAGATATATACAAACGCCCTCAATTATCAAATTATGAATTATGAAGTGAAATAATCAGTAATTTGAGATAGAAATTTATATATGCCTAAACAGATGTTATATATTTTTAAAGTTTTATTAAAATACCTAAAATTCTAATATATGCTATCAAAGTTAGGGGAAAAATCTAAAGTAACATTAAAC